CTAGTCATAAGCGTTTAATACTATCAGTGCATTGTACATGCATTTTGAGCGAAATATTTCGTACAACTATACACCAAGAAGATACCAAACCACTTTTATTATAATCCTGGTATACATACAAGCATATTAAACTAAAATCAGTTAAATCTATAAATCCTAGATGTAAGTTTTTTTGAGTAAATAAGTTCATGCGATATCATATATTATACTGAAATTATTCAGATATATATGTATTTAAATAATAATACAAAATGTATACTCAAATTATTTAAAATTCATAAGTAATAAAACTTTGTAAGTTTTTTTAGAAATATATCACTTGTTATTGAAATTAAATTACTTTAAAAGTGCTTTAAGGTAGTACGGAAGTGTACTTATCATAATGTTTACATTTTAATTTAAAAAATAATAATTTTTTTATCGGGTATCAATATGGCTTCGTTTCCCCATGCAATATTACACTATAATTTATAGGTATACATATACTACTACATTAGTTTATTACATAATATATCAAAACATAAACATTATTGACATATAGAAGAATGTTCATTGCCAATAACGAGTAATTCCTTCTTCCCGTTTATAATATAAAGATATAATAATCACTACAAAATAAGTGTGAGTAAAAAAACGTGCGTACCAACAAATCTTTACTCACATTGAAACAGAATTTCAAACATAACGTAATATTTGAAATTATGAATAAAAACCAGAACGGTCCTTAAATCTGGAAATATATGAAACCACAATACAAATGCACAGTATATTATTGACACTAAAAGATAAAAATGTATATAATGTTAATATACTCGAAACTACATGCAGCGATAAATGTAATGCACCGTTTATTGTATTATGTTTAAACTTTTAAAGTAAAATATGTATAACGTATTAATGTGTATAATATATATTTATATTAACAAAAATGTATGTTTTTGAAGGTTTGGAAACAGCCTCTATATCTATAAGAACACTCTACTTTAATACATATGTTATTTGTCTATTCAACCTAACTTTTCTAAAAAAAAAAGCTCTAGAACAATAAACACGCTGTTCTTAACTTAGTCGTCGATTTCAGGTATGATATTATATTATAAGTGTCAAATATGAATGTTTTTTTTTGTAAAGTTAAATGCCAGTAGTCCATAACTGATGTGTTAAATTCAAAATGCTCAATGAATGCAATGCTAAAAATTATGTGTACTACATATATTGTCATCACTCATCGGTTAGTTGCACAAGTTTCGATTGTAAAGTATTCGGGTGTTTTGAAGTGGACGGACACAAAGTATAATAGATATACAACTCGGTCGTGGTGTTCTTCTTAAACTCATTCCAAAACGAAAATACGTTTATTGAAAAGAACTGTAATTATATTGTAATGGTGGTTCTTATAACAATAACTCACTATTCGTGCGCAGGGTGAAAATCTCCTATATGTGTGCAATTTACGTATAATATGAGTATATGACCTTTAGGCAGAATAATAAAAGAAAACTCGGGACAGACCTAATGAGCGGACTCACGTCACAAAATATAATCACAATACCATTATTATTCATTGTCCGATTTCACTACGTCTACATCGAAATCAAAGTACAGTGAGAGGAGAGTATATACATATTATATATTTTGCACGCAGTGCGGAGTGGCTGAACACGCATATTAAAGGTTTTCTCAATTCCCGAGTGAATCGGGAAGAATTTTCGTGATAAACGGATAATAATATTGTTGCGGCCCAAATCCGTCGATTCACCAACCACTCGTAAATAAATATCGTATACTTGCAGTTTCCAAAATATACTATACATTCTGCGGCGGATGCTTGTGCTGTCGTGTGTAAACATTTTTGCCATTTGTATTAGGTAAAAGACTCGTTGGATGGAATGCTCATTGCTCACTGCTCAGTATCTTGTGCTGCTATATATTATTATTTATAGGTAATCTATGAGCCGGAAATAAGCGTTATTGCTATTATTTTCCGTGACTTAGACGCAAAAACGCGTACGAGTTCCCCGCTGTGGATCATTAAGATTTGGTTTAAAATTCATCGGAGCACAATCGAAATACGAACGTGCAGACATGTCCGACGTTCAATTCCTATTTTGTTATTATACATTTCGCTACATAATAATATAATACACTCACATATTATATAAATAATTATAAATAAATTATTGTTATATACCGTAAACCTATCTGTGCTTTCTACGTATTAGAAATCTCACGAAACAGGGTTCAGTGATTGATGAAGTTCGAATGGACAAAAAAATAATAGAACAAAACCGTATATTATCCTATTGGCCGTTTTACAGATTTAAGGTTAGGTTCGATCAAGTGGATCACCAAACTATTATAAATTATAATAGACAATAATCTTATTAAATTGAATACCTACATAAAATATACCCACCAAAATTTTTAGCGAGAACGATTGATTAGGAAAACACTACTACGATTCGGTGTGAAAAATAACAAATCGGGATGTATGCATACCACATCATTAACATGGTTCATAATCTCGATGCGGGATAATTATATATGGGGATGATTTTGCCAACGAATTTCTAGCTAATCAACGCAACAGCGAATCAGTTAATGGGAAAATCGATTAACTATCAGTTCAAAGCTCGGAATTGCATGTATTTGAATTCCTGTTTAGGAAAGAAAAAACGAAAAGATCTAATTCTATAGGTACAAATTTGTATTGTGGTGTCTAGATTTCAAATTTATAAATTTATAAATGCATATTTTTGTTTATTTTTTTTTATAAATACATAATATAATAACTATGTGTTGGTTTCTATTACTTTTTAAATTTTAACTAATTCATACGTACGTAAGAAAAAATTTGTTTTTAAATAAAATGAATAAATTGACATTGTTATTCTTGATGCGATTTAAAAAATATATTCTTTAATCTTTCTTTTGTGCATTATTTTAAAAACTATTTATGTAAAAATATGCTTAATAAAAATAGGTTTATACGCATTTGTTTAACTAGGTACTTGTATCATTGCATACTTCTGATTTCACTGCATATATTATCGATGGCGCATATTTAATTGCATAATTCAACTTTTTAAGTGCTTAATATTATTTTTCAATTTCGTAAGTGCTGAGCCCAGTCTATTTTACAGTGAAAATGTCTACACCAAAACTCTATTCTCCTCATCCCAACTCGACGTTGGATGTTCAAAGTACAGACGTATGTTATTTGGAGTATATACACAGTAATAATACGTGGCGCGTGCGAGAAAGCTCGGAAAAACTTCTCTATAAATCAAAAATTACATTGCCAAGAGCGTTGCATATACGTATGAAAACGTACGTCACGTCCTAGTCTGGGGGATGGAGAAAAGGATAAAAATACGTTTTTTTTAACTAGTTAATTTCCTCTCGCTTGTGCAGTGTACACTGTACAGTATATTATAAACATAAATCGACTTATATATATATATATATATATAAATGTTGACCTCGCGTTAGTTTTGCAGGTGACCTTTCACTTGTCGTCCGCAAGATGTATATATGTGTGCACACACATATATACGACGAGTGTGTGTGTATCTAGAGCAAACGGCGGGCCTATCGGGGCACGAAAATCGACCGGCTGCAGTTTCGCAACGTTTACCTCTTAAGATATAAAAATAAAAATAATCGGTCGTGACGGTTTCATAAAGAGGAGAAAACAAAAAGTAAAGGTATATTATGCGGTATGTACACGCCTATAATGTGGATCACGGTAGTTAAATCTTCATTTGCGATATGTCATGTCTTCAGACCACCTGCTGATGTTACTGTTGCAGTGTTGATGGCTTTAGTGGTACATCGTGCTCCGTAACGCCTTTACGAAATTTTAATGTTGTGCAACCATTGAATCTTCGGACAAGTCACGGCGCCCATATTAATAATAATAATAACAACGCCAGAGCTCACTATTAGTTATCTTCTCTGAAATCCATGGTCACATGTATTTAAATTACATTCACTGTCCAACAGTGTTATAAGTTCATGACGATAGCGAGACTTGAGTATAGTACAATACCGTTGATTATTTCATTCACTTGCAATTTTTATATAATCGAACAGTGGAGGACAATATAATATCTGTAATTTGACCATAATTGTACAGATATTAACTACGAATTTTCTACCGGTTTCCGCCATTTTACAAGAGATTTTAGACAAATTTTATTTTTATGGACGCGATCAAATATTTTCACAAAATCTTCACTATAGAATAACTGTAGTTGTAAAATATATTATGGTGATTGTAAATGTCATTTTGAATACCAGTAGATATAAAGAAAAAAATAGTACTTACATATACATATTGCCCTATATTACGAATACATAAAGTTCATGCGATGCAAAAGTGCAATATATGATCACAAATTTCATATAAAGTCACAGACGCTAAAGAAACGATTGCTGAATACAAATATTTTTGTTTTTACAAACCAATATGGCTTTGGTAAAAATTTATCATATTCTATCAAATAACTCGAAATGTGTTATTTATACTTTATAATGCATAATATAATATATTTTATAATCAAAATTTAAGTTTTATTATTATTTCTATACACTATCTAATAATGTTGACAGATCAAGAGTATTATTATAAATTTGTTTTTATTAGCATTTCACTTTTATTATTGTTTTTAGATTAATTGTACACACATAGGTACGGTTTGACTATTCGATAATCGCTAGTTGATAAAATATACCCTTATACTCGCCATATTAAAATAAAGTGATATCTTGTGATGGTTTAGTGAACTGCATGTCATACGGCCTCAAATTAAATTAAATTTGAACAATTTGATTCGTATGCATATAATATTGTGAATGAAAATCAATTCATGAATATTTTATACGTTTTAAGTGAACATAAACGTAACTTGAGTCCTCAATATTACAAAAACAAAAACTACTCCCACTAAACTTATGTATACTACAACAAATATAATATATTATATAATACTACTGACCTGTGAGTACTCAGCGCACAAGTCGATGGTGCCTACGAAATCACACACGTCATCCACCGTCCACGAAGACACGGTTGTCTTGTCAGCCCCATTGGGGCAGGTGTGTTTCTCGGCGGTGGAGGTGGAGGTGGCCGACGGAGCGGAACAGGCCGAAGCGCAAGGTAAAACCCGGCTGGGAGCGGCCTGATAGCACGGCGACTGTTTCGACGGAGCCTTTGACGGTTTCGGCGACACGCTGCCCAGCCGCTTGTTGTTGCCGCCTCCGCCATTGCACGTCAGGGCGACCTTTTCCCGGGACTTTTGCAGAGCCAGACCAAAAGCCGGTATGTTGAGGAACGTTTCGGCGAACGATCCGGCGGCCGCTGCGGCGCTCTCCCAGTGGCCAGCCGCAGGAGGATGACCTTTGCGAGGTTTTTTGCACGGACTCGACGACGACAGGTCAAGCGGGTTCTGTTCGGACGTTGAGGTCGTGGCCGCCGAGCCGATGTTGTGCGGGTGCAACGGGTTGGACGACGATGACGAGGTAGAGCAAGGACGCTTGGTGCCACCACCGGTCTTGGCGCTCATGAAAGCGTCAAACTGCGAAGACCGGACCATGGACAGTAGTGCCTGCGTGGACGACATGTCCATCATGGGTGGGAACATGGGCACGTTGGTCCCAGGTATGGTGGGCGTCGCAAACGGGAATCCTGGGTTCAGCAGACTCCCGTCGCAGCCGTTGTCTTTGGTCGACGCTGCCGCGGCAGCCGCTGCTGCTGCAGCAGCAGTCGCAGCTGACAGTATGCCCAAGTTTAAACCGTTTCGCGAAGGCATATACCTGCGTGGGACAAACAAATTCAATACACATTTAAAACCTCATTATTATAATAATATGTATCAGGTACACAACCTAACCTAATCACTTAACCGATCGAAATAGCAAGGGCATTATTATTAAATACATTTTATCATTTTTTGACCATTCAATTAAAACAATCGATTAATTAGATCAAAATTAAGTTCATTGAATGCCTAAGAGCCATATAATTTAAATTTTAAAACAGCATCGAGCATGAAATATGCGAGGATTTTAATTAGATGATGTTATATTTTGAGAATGAAAAATTAATATAGGATAAATTAATACAAAAGAAGAAAAATAATTTTCAATTTCAATTCATTAAAAGGATTAATTAAACAATTAATATAGGTAGGTGAAAAATTTACTTTCACAAGGACGGTGGTTGCCCTAGGTTGAAATTATGTTTGGAAAATCAATCATGCCCCAGCCACAGCCTGGAGTGACGATAGTGTTTTACTATTATGAATTGACTAATCGACTAACATATCTCAAGCCTTATAACATGGAAGAAGAATTATAGCATAAAGGTATATCATATTATATTATAATATTATAGGTTCTGGGCTAAATTATTGTAATTAATAAGGAAACGATGTTATAGGTCACTATTTTAATTCCGTGAAGTTGTCCGACTTTACTGTAGTGTTCTTGTGATCTGGAGATTCACGCTAAGAGTGATGAAGGAAAATCGATGTGCGTCGTTGACCTAAATAACAATATTATTTAAGTCGTATCACCATGGCAGAAAATAGCCGAACGACTGACGTTAAATGTTGCGTTCCAACGTTTTCGTATAACAGTCAAGACTACGATAAAATATGTAAGTACATAAAACAAATGTTATATCAAAATAAGCTCGTCCTATTATACGCACGTTGCATATAACTAGATGTGCGCTTTGCATTGTAGGAATCTAGAACATTTGGGGCACAAGATTAATGAAAAAGGCTTCCTTTGACTGCAAACGGTCTCGTTGAAGTTAATTTTGATTTTTTTTAATTTGCGTTCTACTTACAATATGTCTATAAAACACAAAAATATTATATTATTATTGAAAATCCTTGAAAATTGTATTGATTAAAAAATGTAAAAAAATGTGGGTATTGAAATACTTTAAAAACTCATTTTCTTGGCCTTCTTTGCAGAGGAATCGTTTCATCATAATCAACATAATAACTGATTTGTCGTGCACATAATTTGTTATGTTAAGTAAGGTAATGATACTTAATATAAGTACTTAGTAGTAAACAACACGATATACAACACTGACCTGTAACTAAATGATGAATAGATGGTACCTATAATTTTTTTTTCAGATCTGAAACTCCCTTATAAAACGACCCCACTTCCCCACACTAGTGGATCGGCACTGCGCATGTTCGACAGAGTATGATTCTTAATACGATTATCGTTTATCGTTTATACTGGCTTGGCGATTACTGCTAAGTACCTATATAATATAATACTATTATAGGTGCAGTGAGTTCATACGCTATTTGGCGCGCGCACACACAATATGATTACAAGGCGCTGCGAGTCGGGTCGTGTACGCAATAATAATAATAATAATAATAATAATTTAGTCCTGTTAATCGTAGTCCGAACGAAGAAAAAAACGCTCAGCTGATTTCGTGAGAATTGCCACCGCGCGTCGTTGTCGGTCGCTTTTTAAAATGAACGCGTTTTTTTTACGGAAGGAAAGCGTGTGCGAGAAACGGTGGATAATAATTATTCCATCTTTATAATAGCTGTTGTGTACTTGTGTACGAGCAGATCGTGACAGTAATTTTGATTATTTCTCTTTATGTTTTTAATGAACGCCCGTTGTATCGACACACTCTTGTTATTAATGTTATTTTATTTCACGCGTCCACTGCATCCGAGTGACAACGATTCCGGGACTAAACGCCAAAGTAATTAATTAATAAAATAATAACAATTACGAACCTATCAATAAATATTTCGTGTACGGTGATTGGGGTGGATGATGTTCACACGAAATGTTGATTTTGTTATAAACGTTTCTGAACACAAACTTAGTAAGGAATGACGTAATCATTTGTGTTACCCCACAACCCACCAACTATACATATGTATTTCTACAACACTAACCTCAAGTCCTTAACTATCAACCGTAAATATCATATTATATAGGTATGAATTTCAATCAACTGATAGGTACTTATCTTACAGTAGCCCACAAGCTGATTCTCAACTATTATTATAATATAATATATCCATGAGTCCATAATGTCGCAGAAATGTACATCATTTAATTAGTATTTTAAATAAAAAGCAATAATAATATTATAGTACCTAATCAAACACGATATTAACGTTATCTATTGGGTTGAAATCGTGTATAGTTCTATAGAAATGTATTGTACACATATTATGTAAATTGAATTCCTTCGAACAGGTATAGGTATGCATAATATACGATAAATAATGAAAACGATCTCGTAAAGACTTCGCACGATAATATCTTCTGTAATATGATAACGAGTACGGAGTACCGATATTATTCCGCATTAATTAGTCCGTCGCGAATTACGCAATTTCAACTACACCTAATGCATATAAGTATATTGTATAATATGTACGATCTATAAAAGAAAACAATGAGATCGTACTATCGTAATAAATATAAATGTGGACTGCAGTGTAGGGAAAAATATTGCGGACCGATACATCGTGTTAAAAGGAAAAATTGTGCAAAATAATAACATGCTTATCCTATATGTTCATCAAACAGTTGTTTGATCATAAATATTAATTTAATTACCCAGCAGCTCGTGTCGTTTTTTTTTTTTTGCTTTTATTACAGCGTGTCTCACAGGTTAACACAGTTGAGCGGCTGCCGTGGAGTGAATATCGTCTATTATTTTTAATGTCCGATTGTTTGACTTTGTCGTTTCTTTTGTACTACGTAATTACTATGTTATATCGGTTAAGTGTTTTGTTTTTCTTTTACAGTAGTCGAATGATTATTAGAGAACGACAATATCTAATACTGCAAGGTCTCGCGTACGAATTTCCGAGATAAATCAATATTGTAAATGTGTAAATCGATTGGATTTCGACGCGTTGCTACCGACGACCATCGTCGACGAGAAAAAAAAGTCATCGCCATTAGATCAGACGTCGAATAACAATATTATACACGACTATGATCGTAGATGTTACATTATTAATGTACTTCCATATGGATCCGTCGCACGAACCGAGCAAAAACGTATCGCGATATCTATATCATATTATAACTAGTATTAATGTGTATCGTTTAGAAAAATCGTAAGACGCTACTCACTCGCTGGGGTTGGCATTCTGGTACTTGGCGGCCAGACTTCGTATGAGGTCGCTGCAGTTTCGGTTGGGCGCAGGACTGGACACGCGGTCCGCAGCGGCCGCGATGCCGGGCGGCGTGCCGGGGTAGCACGACGAGGACGGCGTGCCGCTACGCGACGATGCTGAGTCACCGCCGGCCGCAGCCACCGGGCTCAGGCGTTCCGTCTTCACGTCGGCCGCGGTCGCCACTCTATTGTTGTTGGCGCTGGTCGTGTTGTTGTTATTCACCGAGTGCTCAATCTGCATACCGACCCCCGAACGTCGGCTCTTCGGCAAACCAAACAAGTCGATGTCTCTTTTGATGTCCACTGCGGGAAACAGACAAAAAAAAATCGTAAACGTTATATTGAAACCGATAAAAGATGTTTTTTATTGCAGCGCTCGCGTGTTAATGATTTTTGCACGCGTTTTCGGAACGCCTTGGGTTAGTTATCAGCGATTACATAATAATAAGACAATGCAGATTGTCATCGCTATTCGATATGCCATCCATTTAATGTTCAGTACTTATTATATTATATACTATCTGTAATGCATAATTTATTATTTTTGACATTTAGATGCCCTAGGCGATGAGGATATTTAAAGGTTGTTTTGGACAAAACATAATTTTACAGTACTATAATTGTCCAACAATAATATAAAATAATCGTTTTTTCTGTCTATGTTTCATACGCTACGAATCAGGAGCTTAATTTATTAAGGGTGTAGAAAGGTATACACTTCCTCAACCAAAGCCTTTTTTCCTATCATCCAGCATTTTTATTGTGCAGTGTTTCAGTAACTAACTTTCAAGTCAATATCGACTCGTCGTTCAAAATTATCGGTACCTACTAAAAATTCAGTGAGGTACACCACATCACGAGCGACATTCGTTCAGGTAATATTGTGTCGTATGCAATACATCGACACAGATCTTGCTGGTACCAAGCTGTGTATTTTATAATTATATGCCATACCAAAGTACAGATCTTGTTAACGTGACCAGAAAAACAGACGGACAACAGTTAACCAAAACTTTGCTAAAAATATATTGTTGTTAAAAAAAATTGTAATGCTACATTATGTTAGAAACCTTTGCCAATCTCCAAGCTATAGTTAGTAAAAACGGAAAATTGAAATCTTGAATAGAAGACTTTTTCATGTTCGTATCTCTAGACATAAATAGGTACATAATAAACATAATTACACTCGCCGAATACTTCTGAACCATTATTAATAATTTGTTTTTCCTATTTAATCATATAACAATAAGATATATTATACCGTTATAGTATAGAATTAATTTTATAATGTCAATAATTTACATTTAAGAGGAGAGAGATATGTGTTGAATGGTGATATCACTGATGAAATTGACGTTGAAAGCTATTTTAGTAGTAGTTTACATGGTAACAGGTTACGTCAAATGATACTACAGATATTATAATTTATAAGTGGGTTTTCGATAAGAGAAAACGTCACCTACTAAGATTCCAATAACGAAACTTTGTTTACTGCGTAAAGGTCATTTTTTAAGCATTTAATATTCTTTTATGCTAAAATTTTACATTTATCGAATTCCATTTTATATGATGTACTATTCAATTAAAAATTGACTAATGGCCGCTAACGTGATTTTAAGTCTGGTTATAACTTATAATAATATGTATTGAAAGTAATAAATTAAACGATAATAATGCACAATAATACTTCATATTGTACCTATTTTAATTTAATAAATTATTCAAAAAACCATCATAACCACGTTGAGCGAATATCTTTCAAAGGCATGCATTTGGATTGTACCAAATGTACCGGAGTGGACGACCTACGGTCTACATGCATTATCAAAATAATATGTCCCGAATAAACTTAATATACGTCCAAGACTGTTTCGTTGAAATAGTTCACATTCCCCACCACTTTTAATTAGTATACCCTCTAGTGAATGATGAAGGTGTGAAAACAGTTTGATCAAGAATTGAATAGCGTGACGGACGACGCTTAGAAAAATTCCACCGAAGACAACGTTTTCTCCAGACTGACTGACCGGCAACAGAAAATGTGGCGGTTACATGCTCGTGAGTAACCGTATACAATAGAATGCTGTGAGCAGCAGTCACCAAATGTACACGACAGTCGAGTTGACCCCCATCCATATGTAAGAGTACGTTACTCATTAACCGCGATATCCTCTGTAGATCAGTGTTACAAGAAACGATGGCCTCTGACAGTTTTATCAGACCGATTGTCTATAATCGATTCTCGATGATTCCTTGAAGACCTACTAGAGCCACGAGATTTTAGATAGAACAATAAACGATAGCCTATAACCTACACAACTACAGATACCGAATTTTCGAAATGAAATACAAACAAAAAACTACTGATGAATATTTATATTAAAATATTAAAAACACCTTTATAAAATACCATGATAAATATTTATTTGATTTGAGGGAATAATATAACTATAAGAGCACTGCTGTTACATCTTGAGCGTTGAGTTCAGCTAACGTTAATCTAGATCTGGATTCGCGGTTTAGTCTATTCGACTTCGCATATAATACTTAATAGTTACATTATACAGCCGACAATAACACAATAGATTTTAATAACGTGTTTATACAATTTTTTTGAACTAAAATCTCCGCACATGAGTTTATAAGCAGAGCGTAGCCCGTTGTTATTTGTTAATAAACATAACACAATAATATATTACCTATATTATATTTTCAACAATGAAAATAGAGTAGCGAAGACGATAACACGAACTGTAGGTGTATAATAATATAGACACGCACGTCAAATATCATTTTTCTGCGCGGAGAGGAGGTCTCATTCGATTGCATTGTTATTATTATTATAATCTTGACGATTCGTTACACGTGATTATTATCCCACATATTATTATTATACACGCAGAAGGCGCATACCACGACCGTCTGTATGTATTTTTTGTGTTTTTTTGGCACCCGTCGACCGTATATACACACGTATACAATATATGTAATATATATATATATACAACTATTAACTATATAAGTAATATGGGCGCGTGCGTGCGTGAAAAAAATAACGCCGCAAAATAATCCACCCACGCTGCCGTATTTTTCCACGCTTATTTCGCAGCTCACGGCCAATTGGACACCGGCCATTATTTTATATTTTAGTATTATTTGCCCTCACCACTCTGCAGAGTCCCATCGTTATGGGCCTACACAAATAATGATACATAATATTATTATTATCGTAAAAATCTAGATACGTATATACTATTATTAAAACCCGAGAAGCGTGCGGATCCGACAAATTCGATTCCAGAAGTAAAAACCGGAAAGTGTCATGTTATGTATATGACGTACACAGTGCACGTCATTGGACACGGTATAATAAAAAAAGGTAATATTATTATAATATTACATATTTTCTTCGTTTCTGTGGTGACGAGATGCGACCCATCAACAATATCCCATTTTGAAAAACAATAATTAAAAATAACACACAACATAATATTAGTGTAGTACCATGGCTTAAATATACAAGGTTATTGCCCCACTATATCATTTTATCACGTTAAGGAATTAAAATGGCAGCGTAAGGGGACGACGTATACTGGCTATATTATGATATTATATGCTATGATATGGACCGTACCCTTACGCTACCATTTTATTTTTATTTGATAACAATTTGGCTATGTGCAATAACCTTGTATATTTAAGCCATGTGTAGTACGTTCCACCGAGTACCGACTGCAGATTAATAATTAATATGTAGTGGAAAGTTATATAGGGACTATTTTCAATCACATCCGACGCGTTATAGTGTCGCTGCAATTCCTATTATGTCAATCTTTTGAAATTTCTAGGAAACCCTATTCACAGGCAACGACTAAATTTAACCCCAAGTTGTGACGCACTGTCGTTGTTTCTCATTCAAGTGTTCAAGGCGACGATAAAATATCACAAGAATTTATACGGTATTATATTATTCGAGACATTAATATGAGTCTTTTAATCAGTTATCGAAGCTACCGTCAGGGTACAAACGGACAGTTAGAACCGGCAGACGTTGGTGATCGGCGGTCGCTACACATAATACACTTAAGAGTTACGAACCTAATTTATATTAACCTATAATTGTATGTCTTGGTTAAGTATAATTTATTTCTACTTTGGCGCCACCGGTAGTACAGGAGAACAATATCAACTGTTATATTATTTATAATATATACATATTATGGTATTAATTATTATGACAATTCAATGATATTATTAACAATGATCAAAGGTAGTCATATACATAGGTAATAAGTACCAAATAACACAAATAACACAATCGACGCGGGTCCCGATTTATCTGTACTTATATTTTATCCGCCCAAGTCAGAAAATAAACAGTAGCCGAGTATCATGATGATGTTATTATTATAACGATCGTACAAGATTTCACCGATTGTCATATTACTCCACCGTGGGTAGATATAATAATATTTTATGCCTGCAGCAATATAGAAATTGAAATATAATATTACAATACTGAATACGGACTATACGATATGTATGAGTATACTACGTACAATCAATTCAACGCATAATAGTCTTATACATGCTATAAGTTCACAATATTATAATATCACGCTCAGATCTGGTACGACCCACGACCGTAATCTTATAATGTATAATATTATATAATATATAATTTTTTCGAAACGGAAACGTTATATCGTACATCATGTACAGCCGTACAACAGGCATAAAAAAGTAAAACGGGGATATTGAGTACTTACTATCTATATACATCTATATGATGAGCAATATAGAAAAATGCCACCAAGCAAAATTTAAATTGTAACATCTGGTTTAATCTGATAGTTTAACACAATATTATTAGTATATTACCAAATTGTAATAACAGAATATTTTCCAGATAAAATATTTTCAAACAAAAAAGTTACTGTATATTATATTTTCTCAAACCTATAGGTACCTACTTATAATATTATTAAAGTCTATAATTATACTTAATTATACAATTGTAACTTCTTAATTGGAAAAATTCTGCTCTTAAAATTTGGTACGTAAGCTACTAACCTCTATAATTATTATGAACCTAGCGCCATTATTTTATTTTGCGTTCCTATAGTGGAATTTCGCTATACTTTTCTTTATAGATAGACGCGTTATTCAGCGATTTGTTTTGTACATATTATTCTATAGATTATGTTCGGCTACAAAGTTCTAATAAAAAGATCTAAACAAAACAATTATAAAGTTATAGACTTAAAAATTGATGATTTGTTTTATTTTTGAACCATGATGCG